TTGATGATAATATTTTGAACTTAGGTGATGGTAATTGTTGGACAATCTTCTGGATATACTAAAATTCACTGGATTGTATACTTTAAAAAAGTAAAATCTATAGCATATGAATATGTCAATAAGGTGTTTTAAGAATAATTCCTAGACTGATGAGATGGCTCAGCTGGTAATGTGCTTGTGCAAAGGAATGATACCCAAGTTCAATCTCTGGATCCCACAGGTGACAGGAGAGAACTGACTCCCAAGAATTGTCTTCTGACCTCTGCACAGGCCCTATGGCATGCACACACTGCAAATACGCATACTGTTAATAATAATTAGCAAATTAATTAAATAACTCCTTTAAACATATTTTTCCATTTTTAAAAATGAAGAATGCAGAGGACGTTTGGCATTGTGTAAAAGAGACTCAAGTATCAACTTATTTTCAGGGTTGTATAACAGTCCACACACAGTAAGTGAGCATGGATTGGGGGGCAAAATTGATGGTACCCTAAGCAAACATGGGTATGCAGGAGGAAATGCAAATGTACTAATATCAAGCTAAGTTGGAAGGAACCCTCCCTAGGAAGGTACATGTAGAACAGTAGTAGCTTTACACACCTACTAATTGTGTTACTCCTAGCTTCATCCTGTATTATGCATTCTATACAGTTTCAGACTCCAATGAAATGAACAGTTCATAGGTTCAGGTAAGCTTTAATATTTATTGAGCATATGGGAGAAAGGCTGTGCTAGGCACTGGGTTCTAAAGATGTATGACATGCTCTGCCTTTAGGATGCTTTCAGTCTAATTTCTTAGTAGGTGATGCAAGGTGAAACAAGTTGAAAACAGAAATAATGTGGCCAGTTCATTTTAGTAACAATTGATTAAGCAACAGAGACAACATCTGACATGTTATACATGTAAGTTGGACTATAGATTTTAAGAAATTTCCATCTACTTAGATTTGTCAGTGCAGAATGTAAGGAAAGGCACAGGGACTCCTCTGGTTTAGAAGTTCACAAAGTAGAAACAAACACTTTGAGTATAAACAAGGCTAGAGAATGGTATGTGGGGTGACTCTAGTCAGTAGGTCTGTGTTACTTAGCATCAAAGTTTTTCCATACATTGTTCTGGTTAGGAGACTGAATGCCAGTTTAGATAAGTACTAAGCTGGAAAACCTCCTTCGTTTTGGCATAAGGCCTGGGGGTAGAAGTGAAGATGACCTGTCCATGGGTGGCCCTTGCAGTTTAGTAGACTCACAACAATGTTCTTTCAGGTAACTACATGAAAAGAAGAGGTGCTGAGTAGAAGTACATTCTGGTATTTTAATGAGCATTTGGTAAGAGAGCTCCAGTAATTCTCTTATCTTTTTCATTTTTATAGCTGATATCAACTTGGATGTATCAAAGCCTTTGAAAGCAAACCTGAGTTTTACCAAACTGGAACAGATAAATCATTTTTTAAAAAAGATAAAAAATGCACATAGCTCTGCACCTAGCAGAGAGACCTCAGCTCTATCAGAAACCACAGTGAATAAGGATGAGCCATCCATTTCCAGAAGTTACCGTGGAAAGTTCTCCAAGTCCAGAATTCATTGTGATGGAGTGCAGAAGATTTCCTTTCAAGAAAACATGTGGAGAGCCATTTCCTGCTTTCAAAAAATTTCTGTTCGTACTACCCAGATTGTGATCTCCATGGAAACTGTCCCCCATCTTAATAAACCATGTCTATTAGCATCATTGTCAAACCTCAATGGAAGCCTTAATGTCAACGCAGCACAAAAAGTACCTGGTAAGTCACAAAAGAGAAGAGAGGGAATGGGATGGAGGGAGAAAGAGAGAGCAAATGAGCAAACAATATAATTCAACATCTGATAAGTGCATCATTTTAAAGATTTATGTTACATATAAAAGTTTTAAAGACCATTAAACATACAAACATTTAAAGCTTGTGACTTTATTGCAAAGATAGGTTTTAGTTTTGACCTCTCATTGCAGTTGCTGTTTTCTCCTCCCTCCCTCTTTCCCTCCCTCCCTCCCTCCCTCTTCCTCTTCCTCCTCCTCCTCTTCTTTAACAAATTCTTTCAGCCTAGGTCTTTTCAAGCCCTTAAACCATTCCTATCCACCTCTTTAGGCGCTTTCCTACAAACGTCTTTGGAACTGTTCTTTCCTAACTTCTTTTAATAAAATAGCTGTGCTGGGACAACATCACATGGAATTTTGTGCCACTAGAATAGTGCTTCTCAAAGTACAGTCTGAAGACCAGCAGCATCAACATCACCTGAAACCATGGTGGAAATGCAGATTTTTAGATCCCAGACCAGTCTACAGAATCAGACACTGTGGGCACAGAGCCCAACAATCTGTAGTTTAGTAAGCCTTGCAGGTGATTCTAATGCAGTGCATTCTGTCATTGGGAGCAATTTATTTTTAAAAAGAAAAATTGCTGTGGTGGCAGATATGCTCCACAAAGTGTCACGCCAAGGCTCAAGTTTGCAAGAATGCTATTGAGGCATTTGATCAGGTTGCAACACCTGGCCTGGAAAAGCTGTAGCATATCCAGAGGGCCCAGTCTGCTTCAAATTGAAAGTCATTGATGATAGAGAGGTGGGAAGTTAACTTACAATGTCATCTACATTTTTCTCTCCTGTTACTGTGACTAAGTTGTTAGATGCTTGAATCAAAACGGTGAGCAGAAGGAATGTGAGGGGGAAAATCAACACTCAGGTAGGAAATAAGTTTTTAATCACAGGAACTGCTACTGTGAAAGTTGGGGGCACAATGCCAGAAATGCTGCTCTAAAAGTAGAAGTAGCAAAAGGGAGCCATCTCCTTTTCCACTTTAATCTGTGGAGGAGGGCTGTGGGTGGGATAGTGCATGGGATATGTAAATCCTTAAGCTATGTGCATCTTAGCTGCTTACCAAAGAGTAATTAAGTGGCAGCTGGAGAATAATTGTTCCAGAAAGCCTGTTTGGCACAATAGTTTAAGAGATTTTTTTTTTAAGTTTTATAGTTGAACAGTATTAGTTTTAGGCCAAAAACTTAGATGATTTATTTCTTTTTCACCAAAATATCTGTGACTATGCCAGCTAAAAGTTCTTTCTTCCTTTATTATTTTTAAAGTTAGAAATGAAAAATGTAAGGTTCAGGAGACATGAAAGACCCCAAAACATTGGATACTAGAGTGTCCAATCCATCCACAGATATATTTTGCAGCCCCACCAATGCTGTGCCCATCCCCACACCTACACAAATGCTTTCCCTTAACCATGGCAGGGAAAGGGCAAGACACAAATGGAATGGAAGAAGTTAAACATGTTGTACTAAATGTGCCTCCTGCTTATTTATCATCCTCATTCTTCCTAATTTGTTTGCTGCCTATATGTTACTCACTTTTAGTGGTGCTTCTCCTTCATAAATATTTTTTCTAAAATATAATTGTCTTCTCAATGAACCAGACAAATGGTCTCTTTTTGTAATTTTCCCCTTTATACTAGTAAAGCTACATACCCCTTCTTCTTTTACAGTTTTGTTCTTTATCTAGTAAACAACAAATAGAAATTTTAGCTCTGACTAAAATATATTTCATACAACTTTGCTGAGTAGCATCCAGTAAACATTTTTAAATAGTTTTGTTTATGTGTATGCCACATTAAATCAAAAATGAAGTTAACCATCTAATTGAAAAAATTATAAGACCCCTAACAAAATCTCTTTTTTCTTCATTTCAACTTTGTTATAAATTGTTCAAACATCTCAAAAGATAAAGTCAGCAAAATCAATTATATTTAAATGAAGTAAGATTGTAACAAATTTTAGTTGTTGCCAAAGACTGATTTCTAGGAAAATTATGATTGAGAGATTATGACATAGCTATTTTTTTCTTTTTAGTGGAAAGAGGCAGAATCTCTTTCTATAGCCCAAGTTGCCCTGGAACTCCTAGTCTTAAACTTGGCCATCACGATGCCTGCCTAACTACATAGCTTTTTAAAAACAATTTTAAATCACAGTTTTAGAAAAAGTAATTTAAGGTTTAGGCATAATAGGTGAAAGTGTTCAAACTGCATGCTTTGCAGTTTATATGAAATACATACAGGTACAGTTTTGATACGTGGTTAAAATTCTACCCCACACATACAGTCACTCATAAGCCCTTCCCAGTAGTCACATTTCTTTTTTCAGTTTTCCAGTAATATTATTATTCTATAGTCAACCAAATTTTTTATAGTCTGTCTTTGAGCTCAGTGGGGTTAATGTCAGATTTTTATAGGTTGAATATAATGCAGAAATACTTAACTGAGTCTTTGATTTTACAGTTTATATAACTATTGTGAACATCTGCAGCAGCTGCACTTTTCAAATTATTTGCCGAACCAAATTGAGCACAGTGACAAAAGTAGTCATCTCAGATGTGCTGTTAAACAGAGAGGGAAGGGCACGTTGCCTTCGTATAGTATAGCCATCTGCTAAGCAGATGGGATTGTATAGAATGACTCAAAATAAAATTATTGTTGAAAATTTTTCATTAAAACCTCAGCAATTTGCACTTGTTTACCCAAATCTGCATAGCTCCCCAGTGAGACAGCACGCTTGGGCTTTCTTGGGTTCTCACTCACTTTCTCTTTGATCCTTTTTGATGTGCTGACTTTAATAAACATAGTCAGAAACACTGTGCAAAAACATCATGGAAAAAACTACAAAGGAACAATTATAGCAGCAGAAACTACTCTAATCCCTAACTTACGCAAGCTATTTTTAGAGAAATATTTTTTTAACACTCTTTATGTGACAATGTTATATAAACAGGGAAAAAATGGTCCTTTCCAGATGAATTTTAATTTAGGAGCCGAAATAGATTTGTAATCCTAGAGGAATCTATGTGCTAAGTAATATTTAGAAAAACACTATTGGGAATGTGTTGTAGGCATGTTCACTCACTTGTCAAAAGGACAAAAAAAATTGAATTTGTCTAATGAATATTTTTTTTAATCATTTAAATGGTTAGAAGCTTATGGAAAGTGTGTGGGAAAGTAGAATAGTAAAAGCATGAAACAAGCAAGGTAATGTTTTTCCCCAGACATGTTCAATACATTTAAGTAATCTGAAAGGCTTTCACATTTATTTACTTATTTTAATAACTAAATATTTATAGATTATTTACTGAACTCCTTAAAAGAAGTCTCATCTTCATCAGGCAGAACAAAGTGAAAGAGTTAAATATTTTCCAGTTTCAAAAGAAAAGAAAACCTCCAGTTCTTCTCAGCCTCCTGTACTCTTTTGGGACCCTAAACCATGAGAGTTTCAAGGGACTTGATTCTTTTTGATATTCCTCTCTGCAGATGCTTGCCTGGTACTGAACTCATATTATAAAGCCTAACTCATATTTCTGCTAGATACTTAGCTTCTCCCATGTGTCTTAGTGAAGTGACCCTACAGTTCTGATTTTTGAAGATGTAATGTTTGTATTTTTTTAAGTTAGTATATAGTATTGCAGAAGAATCCTGAGTACATTACCAGTAACTAAATGAATCTCATTTAGAAATTACATCTTATATTCTGAACTATTTTAAAGCCAATAGTAGTTCTTTGCTGCCCATTAACTCTATCCCATTCTTTTAAATGTTGTATTTTTCTTTTTTAAAGAAAGCAACCTCCTCCCCTGACATGGACACTCAGCACAGTCCTTTTCTGCTGTTCGAAACATGTCACTTTGGAGAAATGCAAAGTATGTAGTTATAAATTCTGCACTGGCAGCAAATCTCTTTCCACAAGCAGGGTGGGCAGTGAGCCGCACACTTTAGCTCGCCTGTCAGAGTAATTTATGGCTCTATTAGGACAGCACGCCTTCGATTTCGGCAAACAAGAGTACACAATTGAGAGCTGTGGAGCCGCTGGACTTGAGGGTGCCTTGCTCCTTCACCGGGGTGCTTAGATTGGCAACCTCCATATAGACAAACAGAGAAATGAAGTGTGAACAGCTGATGATCCAAAGGAGAAGAACCTAAGCAAAGCCGTGTTGGCTAGCATTTTAAAACTGGGAGAACATTGGCAGGACCCCTCTGACCATGGGGACATGGAGGATTTTCCACATGGGCAGAAAGCTGCAAGGTCACACTCCTTGTCAGACTATGGCTTAATTGACTTTCCCTGCCCTTGCCACTGTTGTCCAAGTGCACTTGTCTTTGTGTTTAAACAAGAGAGAAAGAGAGCATATAGCCAGTCTTGCCTATGTATAAGAAACGCCTCTTCTCATGTTCACTAGATCCAGAACAACAGCACATTAATACGCAGAACCTAAAATTCCTTTTCATGAACTGAAAAGTGAAACTAGATCATTGATCGATACGAAGTGGAACTCCAGCTTTCTATTTCATCCTGGGTCTCTGGAGGAAAATCTCTTAAGGCATCCTAATAGTCTGGATGCTACAGATATGCAAGTTTGCTTAAGGGGAAATAAAACATTAAATTAGATTTGACTACCTAAAATCTTATGTTGTGATAATAAGCCATTTACAACACCCCAAAGACCCTTGGTACTTCTAGAAAGAATAGCATCTTTCCAAGGCCTGAACAATGGGAAATGATTTTTTTGACAGTAAAAGCCAGAGGACAAACTTAACTTTTAAGGAGCCACTGAGGAGTCAAGTGTAAGTACAACTGGTAGACAGTGATACAAATCATTAACAAACCTTGATGAATATTGGGTGTGGGCATTAGGGGCCTGTCATTTTTGACACTCTGTCCCAGCTAGCTTAAACCCAACACTCAAGAAAAGGTGGAGAGCTCACTGG